CAGTGCTGAGGGGGTGCCGCACTGTCGGAGGGTCAGTGCTGAGGGAGGGGGCACTGTCGGAGGGTCAGTGCTGAGGGAGCGGGCGCTGTCGGAGGGTCAGTGCTGAGGGAGCGGGCGCTGTCAGGGTCGGTGCTGAGGGGGTGGGCACTGTCGGAGGGTCGGTGCTGAGGGGGCGGGCTGTATTGGAGGGTTGGTGCTGAGGGGGCACCACACTGTCAGAGGGTCAGCGCCGAGGGAGTGTCGCACTGTTGGAGGGTCAGCGCCGAGGGAGTGTCGCACTGTTGGAGGGTCAGCGCCGAGGGAGTGCCACACTGTCAGAGGGTCAGCGCCAAGGGAGTGCCACACTGTCGGAGGGTCAGCGCCGCACTGTTGAAGGTGCCATGTTTAAAGTGAAACATTAAACTGTGACCCTGTCTGCCCCCTTGGTACGTGGGGGTAGCGGGGTAGTGTATAAAAGATCCCACAGCCACTACTGGAAAAAGAGCAGGGGCTGGGCAGTGGGGGGAGTTCTCCCTCCAGTCCTGAAGCCAATATTTATCCCTCAACCAACGTCACTTAAAACAGATGACCCGGATCATTCCCCCATTGCTGTGTGTGGGATCTTGCTGTGCAGCATGTGGCTGCTGTGTTTCCCACAATCCAACAGGATGCGCATTTCAGAAAACTAGCCCCTTGCTGGCTTTGATGTTTCAGGACGTCCTGAGATTCGACAGAGATGTGTTGCTCTTTCTGAGTATAAGTGTGGTCTGTACCTTTATCTTGGAGCGTGTGAATCCCTGGTGGATGTTGTGAGTTCCACTTTCAGTGTCCTGTGCAGATGTGCTGGAGTCTGTATCATAGGAAGATTCCTTCTCAGTGTTCTCCTCCACAGAAAGACACAGGGGCGACACATCAATTTCAGTCTCTCGGTATTGAATCATATCCAGAGGGTCTAAAGAATACAATTTGTGAAAAATCTTCCTTAGTCAGTTTCTTTTCTCATTCATTCATGAGGTGTCACTGACTGGGACAGCGTTTATTGCCCCGTCCCTAATTGCCCCCCTTCAGAAGGTGGCGGTGAGCTGCCTTCTTGAACCGCTGCAGTCCATGTGCTATGGGTTGACCCACAATGTCCCTTAGGGAGGGAATTCCAGGATTGTGACCCAGCGACACTGAAGGAACGGGGATATATTCCCAAGTCGGGATGGTGAGGGGCTCGGAGGGGAATGTGCAGGGGGGCGGTGTTCCCATGTACCTGCTGCCCCTTGTCCTTCTGGATGGAAGTGGGTCGTGGGTTTGGAAGGTGCTGCCTGAGGATCTTTGGTGAATTTCTGCAGGGCACCATGTAGATGGTACACACTGCTGCTACTGAGCGTCGGTGGGGGGAGGGAGTGGGATGTTTGTGGATGTGGTGCCAGTCGAGCGGGGGCTGCTTTGTCCTGGATGGTGTTGAGCTTCTTGAGAGTTGTTGGAGCTGCCCCCATCCAGGGGCAAGTGGGGAGTATTCCATCCCACTCCTGACTTGTGCCTTGTAGATGGTGGGACAGGCTTTGGGGGGAGTCAGGAGGGGAGTTACTCGCTGCAGGATTCCCAGCCTCTGACCTGCTCTTGTACCCCCTGTGTTTATGTGGTGAGTCCAGTTGAGTTTCTGGTCAATGGTAACCCCCAGGATGTTGATAGTGGGGGATTCAGTGATGGGAACACCATTGAATGTCAATGAGTAGTGGTTAGATTGTCTGTTATTGGTGATGGTCATTGCCTGGCATTTGCGTGGCGTGAATGTTTTTTTGTCACTTGTCAGCCCAAGGGGATAATTTCATCAGGATGGGGCTGGGAAATTGAATCAAATTTGCAATAACAACAGGAGGCCACATTACTACACCATGTTTACTGAAATATAACAATAAAAAGCACTTCTCAGGTGTGTCAGACAGGAACTAATCCTGAGCCATGTTAGGGAATATTTGGAACAGGCCATCAAAAGCTCAGGGCAAAGGTCAGTTTTATGGAACATCTTAAAGGAAGAGAGGGGGAGAGGCACGGGGAGATTTCGGGAGGGAATTCCTGTGCTCAGGGTCCCAGGCAGCTGAAGGCACAGTTCCCAATGACGGCAAAACGGGAATCAGGGGATGATCAAGAGGGTGTAGGGGCTGGAGGGGATGACAGAGATAGGGAGGGGCGCGTTCTGGAGAGATGTCACTGCAGACAGACTGGGTGCTGTTTGCGTGGGGGCTTAGTGAGGTCTGTCCTAGCAGAGTTGCCACTGTGAGGCCGTGTGGAAGCTGAGGACAGAAACAATCCCTTTACTGTACAGGATCATTGCAGGGAGGAGTGAGTCAGTCATTCAGTTAAAAGTTTCACCTTCACATTCCGCCGCTTGATGTAGGATTTCCTGTACAGCAAATCAGGTTAATGATTCTTTCAAGAAAAAAAAACCTTTTCACGCACTTTCATTACCGTTATTTTTTTCTGTTTAAATTCACCATGTCTTAGACCTGGAGCCGTGGACAACAATGCAGAACGTTAAAAAGAAGAAATTAACACAGTCTGAGTTCCAACTCCCTCAGCCGTCGGTTTGCAATAAATATCGATTATTTTAAAATATGGAGGAGCTTGGAGAGTGTTTGCGGAGCATTTGGATTTATCCCTTCGAGTGTCAATAACGTTTTGAAATGTTTAGACTTTTCAAAAGCCAAATTTCAACCTGAAAAAAAAGCGAGCTGAGCTGATTATTATTTTCTCTCTCTCGTCACAACATTCATGTCCCAAAGTGACTCCCAAATTGAAAACTCTGCCACCAATTTTCACATCTTTTTAAAAGTAACAAAATATGTTAAGCCGTGTCAATTTCTTAAAACGAAACAAAACAATGCCCTCGGTTGCAGAACAAAAGAAGAAACACATAAAGCTAGCTACTTTTTGCTTCACAAAAGGGGGTTCAGGATTTTACTCTCTCTCTCTATACCTGCCTCCCCAAAAGGGCATTCCTCGGTACTTACGCGGTATGTAAATATCCGCTCTCATTTGATCAGGTATCTCTCCCCAGCTCCGAGACCTCACATTGTCACTCCGAATCTTCACCAGAAAAGCCCGGGGCATCTCGTCTCCGGTTTGTATTCGAAAAGGTTCAATTGTTTTTTTGAGATGCAGCTGTTCTCTTGCACCAGTGAGAGAGGGGGACAAACTGGTTTGTTGATCAGCCCTTCTCTCTTTCTCTCTATTCTCTGTCTCTCTCTCTCTCTCCTGTTGAAGAGAGGCACCTGTGTGACTTGCAAAGAGAAGGTAATGTTTCTGGAACAGGTCTCCTGCTTTCTTTCTGTCTCTCGATCTGGGTGGATTTGTTCTGTCTCCCCTCTGTACCTCCACAGGGCAGACAACGCGCACACACACTGTCCCGCTCTCTCTCTCTCTCTGTCTCAGATGGTGAGACCTACCTAACCAGTTCTTAAAAATGAGAGGTTATAGAGAGCTGATGACTAACGCATGCGCTGACATATAACGGTGGTGGTTTCACACACCTGTCTATGTGATATAGCATTCTCTCTGAAAGTGAGCTCTCCCCATACTCACACCGCCCTAACCCAGCACTCTGACTCACTAATCATTATCCAAAAGAAATTTGAAAAGAAATTTAAAAATAAAGTCACTTCTCTCTCTCTTTCCACACATATATTTCATCCCTGCAGAAATAAACTGACAGGAATCGCCAATAATTCAAACCTACCCCGCCTTTCACAAATAGATATCTAACTATTTTAACTCTTTCTGGTCTCCAACACTTTCACTTCCCACCCCAACCCCACCTGAAATATGAACAAGGCAAAAAAAAAGTCACATTGTGCCTCTGAAGGCACTGAGCATTTCCGACAGTTTCTGACAGAGTAGCAGGATTAGGCCATTCGGCCCATTGAGCCTGGTATGCCATTCAATACCATCATGGCTGGTCGTCCAACTCCACAGTCTGTTGCGACAAACAGAAATTGCTGGAAAAGCTCAGCAGATCTGGCAGCATCTGTGGAGCAAAATCAGAGTCAGAAGTCACACGACACCAGGTTATAGTCCAACAGGTTTGTTTGAAATCACAAGCTTTTGGAGCGCTGCTCCTTCATCAGGTGAAGTGAGGAGAGAATTCAGAGGTTCAGGTCAAGTGACCCTTCCTCAATAGCCTGTTGGTGTTTTCCGCCCATTTCCTCGGATTCCCTTTAGCCCCAAGTGCTATATCCAACTCCTCTGTGAGGACATTCCATGGTCAGTCAGTGAGGTTGGGATAGGGACGGAAATGCTGGGAATTCTCTTCAATTTCTCACAGGGATGTGGGTATCACTAGTTAGTTGTTGCTCATCCCTAATTGCCCCTTGAGCGAATGGACTTGCTGGGACTGTTTCAGCAGCTGTCACATTGCTATGGGGAGCTGGAGTCACATGTAGGCCAACAGACTGTGAAAGGCATTGGTTACAAAAACAAAGTTGCTGGAAAAGCTCAGCAGGTCTGGCAGCATCTGTGAAGGAGAAAACAGAGTTAAC